CAAATCAAAATTAAATATCAAGCAAGGTATTTACATAAAATTAAGGCAGTGGAGGATCTAAGAATTTTTTATATGACAATATCTACAACTAAACAAAGAAAATTTATATATTTTTAAAACAGAATCATTATTTGTTTTTTGGTAAGATTAAAACCGAATCATTATCATATTAGTAAAATTATCATTTATTTATTATTATCCACGTTAATTTAAAAGTTTAAGAGAATATCTGCTTTTTTCTCATAAAAGGATGGAATAATAACATAACTCTTTTAGATTTATAACTATATTTGACATTATCATATTAAATCTATTAAGATAAATATATTTCTTTTTGAAAAATATAAATAAAATGATAATATAATTATTATAGATTTACAATTATATTATTATCCATGTCAAAATTTTAAAACATTTTACTTTTTTCTCACATAGGAAGATAGAACAATAACGTAACAGTTTAAGATTTACAACATAAAAATAAAATCAGAATTGGAACGCCAAATCATAATCAACACAATTAACACAACTCTAATGGGAAATTAGAGTTATCTTGTGATTAAAATACTAAACAAACAAAACTAACCGAAACAAAACAAAAGTCTTCCTTTCAAAATCATTAACGTGACGGATTGCTGACTGATTAAGTTGAAGTTTTAGGCATTTAAAGATCTAGGAAGATGATTAAGGTTAAACATTTTTATTTATTTTAAACAACGTTTGAATGTTGACAAAAAAAGAAGAAGAGAGTGTTGGGACCATCGGGAGAGACAACGTTGAGTAGCTGCGAAAGAAGCCAACGTTGTCTATTATGTTCTTCACAGTGTTTGATTTGACTTTTGATGACATTACACTCCTGTCCACTTGTTGTCTCGAAAGTTCATGCAATGGAAAATTATTAAACAAAACAATTTACTTTTATGTATAAATCCTAGGAAAGAACCGATCAAGCTAAGATCAATGGTTGTGGTTTTAGTACCGTATACTTCTCAAATATACCTATTGAATAACGGAAATCCGCAAGACGGGGAGGAGACGAAGTCAACCTAGCTGGCAAAGGAGCTAACCCAGCTCCTTTGGTCTTATTTATGGTCATATGTATTTAGCAAAATATAGTATACAAACCGAACCAATCAACAACAAAACCTGGTTTTAAATTGTTGTATATTTCTCAAAAGTCAAAACCCATAATAACCAATGGAACAGAAGAAGCTAATGCAGAGCATACTTACGCTTGGAGTAAAGAGTGATGCAAGCTTCCATTGGCACACCCGAAAACGCATCAGAGCAGGGAAAGAAACCTAAAAACCAATAAATTAAACAATAATTAAACCTTAGTGCATGGAAAACGAATCCTATACATACCAAAGTCCGAATCTCAGTGCCTTAGAATGACCTCGATACCAAAAACTTTAAGTTACTACTTCCATATATGTAATATTTTAGTTTGGGGAGAGAGATTGGCAACGAAGAGTAATTCCTGAATTTAACAGCCAAGTTTGTTATCCCTAATCTAAAGAGAGGAATACTTAAATTACGAGACAGAACAGTATATACGCTGTTCATTAATCCAAAACTTCAACCAAAATATGAGAACGGAGAAATGTAATTGAAAAAAACAGAGAGTTTCAGAGAGAGACTTACAAGAGAGAAGAGGAAGGAATCGTAAAGCGTCCATTGGAAGAAGAAAGCTGAGGATCAGCTCCAGGGAAGAAGAAGATAGGCGGAGCCAGAGGAGGAGCCGTTGTGGTCTATTGAGGTATCGAGCTTGCCACGCTGCTCAGCAGTCTCTTGCTCGATCCCGCTTTTCATGTATAGCCTCTGTGCTGCTTCATTGGCTACCATCACATGCACGTACATATCCGTTATGCTTGAACCATATTCACAACTCTTTTTTTAACTCCAACTGGACACGTCTAAGGAGTTTGATTAAACATTCTTACCCCACTCTCTTGGACTTATCAATGAGTTTGTAACCAACTCCATTACGATGCAGCTCTTTTGCAACACAGACATTGCTTAAGTATGCTCTCGCAAAATCCACACCAATCCCCTATAACATAAAATACTCTTAGGCTTCTCAATTTGTCCAATATCAGATTCAAGTTCAGCATTGTTGGCGACACAAATACCTCTGGTTTTGTTCCAGCAATTTCATCAGGAAGCCAACGGCATTGGTTAAGATCAAGGCTCCCCACCACAACTCTGTCTTCAATGCCATCAGAGAACTGAGAAACAGATTTAGCAAAGCACAAATCCATATCACTGCCGTTTTTTGTACACCAGGAAGTAACAACGAAATGACAATTCGAAATGTAGAGCACGATACATTAATGCAACAAACTCTCTTTAACAGATAATAAAAGATGAACAATTGAATAGACAGACCTTGCATGAAGAGAATAAATCCTCAGAAGAGCAAACATTAAACATGAACGTATAAAACTAAAACTCACCACATGACATTGAGTGACACTGTAGACCATGTGTATCAGATTTTGGAATATGTCCCTGAGAAGATACGGTGAAGAGAATAAGAGGAAGAAGAATACCCAACGACTATAGTCTATTAGGTTAATTAATAAAAAAATAATAGATTAGGAGTTTCACAAAAACAGACAACTGATTAGGACTAAATTATAAAATTACCTACATGTTCATAATTGATATCATCAACCCACAACCATAGTGGAATAAAACATAAAAACATATACCACAAATATTAATTGGGAATTAGGTTTTAAAACGTTGTCATTCTATTTTAATTCAATCACTTTTAGAAGATGGAGATCGATGTTTCAAATTTTCTGTTAACAAGCGAAGACGTATCAAATATAAAGTTGGGAAACGTACGTGATACCTAAAAGAGTCGAAATATTGGTATCTCATTATTGGAATTTTGACTACATCACAACAATGATATCCACACAAAATTAAAACTCATCAAACAAGAAAAACAAAGAGTAGATTAAAAATACATGGAAGATCACATGCTCGTGGAGATAATTTGACAATAACATTGATTATCACACAAAAAATAAGACTCATAAAAAAAAACGATCAAAGTTATATGAGAGATTACATGCTCGTGGAGATTAGCCATAACTTTTCAATATTTTGAAATTCCACAAAAGCATCGGTAAAACAAATAAAAACACATAAATTAATCACAATATCATATAGATAGGAACAAATATAAATCAAACCTTTTCCCCCATCGATTTGTAACAATGTTTTGGAACATAAATTTCTGAACCGCACCTTGATTAGTCTGACATACATTCGATATGTAACGTAAATCATATAAAAATATAACAAAATAAGAAAATCGAGACATTAAAGATAAAAGATTACCCGTTAATCAATTGAAACATCACTAAATCTTCTTTATGCATCATGGTTGCTTTCACTCATCCAAAACCTACAATCGTTAAAAAAAACCATTAGAATTTATAGTAACGAAAATAAGATGTATAACTAAAAAAAAATCAATGCAAAAAATCAAGGTTAGTGATGATCCGAAAGTGTAAACATGCAAGGTATTTATATCAAGGTAAGAGGCGGTGTAGGATTTTTTTAGGGTTTTTCTTTTTTTTTGACGATAATAACTACAAAAAGGAAGTTATATATTTTTAAATTATTTGTTATGGAACAATAACATAACTAATTAAGATTTATAACTATATTTGACATTATCATCTTAAATATCCGAAATTCAATTTAATTTTTCCAAAATTAATTAGATTTCATTAAGGGTAATTAAGTAATTACGTAAAATCAATGACTCAACAAGAGCCGAGAGTCCGACACGTCAGCAAAAACACTTCTCAAATATTATTATATATAGATACCTAAAAGAAAATATTAATCAGTGTTTAGGAAATTAACATAGATTGAAAAAAACTAAGATGATATTAAATAAAACAAAAATATCCTAAACATCACAAATAAAAATAAAATAATCGTATCAAATAATAAAACCGTGTAATAATAATATTTGAGAGTGCTATTTAGAAATTAGAATAGAATGGTAGATTGAAGAGTTTTTCATTAGAAATAAGAAAGATTTTTTTTAAAAAAAATATATATATTTTAAAATTAGAATAATTTTTATGAGTTCGTAACTGTCACATTTTAGAAAAATCAACATTAAGAATACTATCTAGAATCATAATATACGTTAACTTATATATGTAGAAAAAGATTTTTGTATTTTTCAAATGATCAAGATAAAGTGCAGATGATGACAAAAAAAAAAAGATAAAGTGCAAAATTTAACGTTGAAATCATATGTTTATGAATAGGAATGAGTTTATATATGAGATTTGTTGTCTATAAAGAAATTTTAGATGCACCAAAACATGGTAAAAAAAATTTTTATGACAAACATCTATCGGGATTTCTGTTTCTGATGTTCACTTTAATAAAAAAAAATCATGAAACTTATAAAAAATTGAGTATTGAATGATATGAAGGAAAAAGTAAAAACGATATAAGGAGAAAAGAGAATAGATGTCGAATTATATTTATATTCAAAGAATAAAAGTTTAAAGTTAAATTATGCGCAACCCGCGGATACACGATCTAGTTCAATACAGTATCTGAGATTTAATTTAATCTGCATTTTGTCTTGGCATTTAAATTTCTGATTTGTTTGTGTGTTGGGAAATTAATAAAGAATCAATTATGGATTTGCCATTTTTTGTGATTGCATTTGTGGATTTTGCCTTTTTTTGAATAGTTTATGAATTTTGCCCTTTTTTAGGCTACGGAAACATGCGTTTTATTCGTTATGTTTGGGTTTAGTCGGTTGTGGTTGTTCTTAGGGTTTAGTATTTTGTATAAACTACGTATTTTTACCAAAAAAAATCCGAAATACGTATATTTTTAAGTGTTAGAAAATGGCAAATCCATAAGATTTTTACAAAAATGGCATTTTCAAAAGATTTTTGTAAAAAAGGACAAAATCAACAATAATCCCATTAATAAAAGACGGTTCGACGGTAAACCCGGTTTAAATTAAACCAGAAATTGGAGAAAATCTCAGCCATGGCGATTGCTTCATCAGCCACCGTTCTCTTCTGCTGCGCCAAACCAAATTTCCGGCGAATTCCGTCTCAGAGCCGTTCATCTTCTCCTCTCACCACCTTAAACGAAAGTGGGATCCGGAGCCGCAGCTTAATCCATGACCCGATTACGCTGTCGGGTCTTATCGGAACCGGTTTGATGGCGGGTACGTTCATCACGGCGGGACCAGATTCTACAGCCATGGCGGCGGTGGATTCTCTTCAGCTAAGCGAACCTGCTAATGCGTTGTCTTTACCCACTTGGGCTATTCATGTTTCCAGCGTTGTCGAATGGTTCTCTTCTTCTTTCTTTGCTCTATTGATTTAAAATTCCACTTAGAATATCATTGACATTTGATTTATAGTAACACGAGAGAGCATTTGTTGTTGTGCGTTTCTCGAGTTTTTGTTATCTTTCTTAAGGGATTCATGTGCTCAAATCAAATTATAATGAGAGAAGCTTCATCTACATTGTGAAAGATCGAGACTTTACATGTAGATGAAGCTTTTCTCTCATTGATTTTCAAATGCAGTTGGAGCAAACAAACAATAAAAATGTAATGTCTTCCTAATTGTGGTGTTGTTTTGTACTAAAGGATTACGGCGATGGCGTTGGTATGGAAATATGGAGAAAGAAAAGGTTATGAGTCTTGGAAAGGTCTCTCATGGGGAATGGTGAGAGCTCTAAGCTGTTTTCATAGATTCTCAAGATTACATGATTTCATTTTCTGAGCTTTTTTGGTTGTTCTTAATCAGGTACCTTTGCTTGGTGGAGCTCTTTGTGCATGCACATGGCATTTCTTTTACAATGATGAATCTCTTGAGGTCAAGAAAACTCTTGACTCCTACTTAGCTTTAAGTCTGTTTCTCTTTGGTGAACACTGATGAATGAATTAGGCTAACTGTGATATTGTTTGTTGCTTCTTCACTCCTACCTAATGTTGTAATGTTGGGCTGCATTATTAGGTGTTGGTCGCGCTTCAGGCGGCACTAACTGTGTTCGGTAATATTACTCTGTGCATTGCTGCCTTTCGAATCAACAAGTTGTCATCCAAAATTGAAGTCTCTGAAAAACCATGATGGCTAAACACATCTTTCTGTTAAGAAGTACAAGGAATATCTGTTTTCCCTTTCTACCGACGGGTAAAGCCGACTTTTGCTTGATATGGAACAAGTGATTAGGGATGAGACTGGAGTTCATAAAGTTTATGATTCATTTGCTATTTGCTTATTGTAGGAATCTGAGTGTAGCCTTCTTGGGGATTCTTGGTGGTAAGAGGATCTTCGAGAATTGTCAATGTGGTAGTAACGAAAAGATCATGGTTTATACTTTATATTTGTAGATATTGAGCCAAACATGATTGTATGTTCCTAAGTATATATTCTTGATGAGTTAGACCATATCATAATCTTATGTGAGCATCCTTCTTCTGTAATCTTTGTAGTACTGAAATTTTTTGGGTCTTAGACACTTAGACTTGGATGATAACTAAGATTCTTTATCAAGTCAATTAAATTCATTAGTTGGATTTTTTTTCCCCTTAAAAAGCTCAATGAAATTCTTTTTTTCTTTCGAGAAAGCTCAATGAGATTCTATGTCAACGATTTAACTATATTATATAGTCTTTATAAATCGTTCATGATAAAGATCCATGTGCATTCAACCACATACATTAACATATACTTATAACCGAAGTTACACAGATTTAGTCTTATCCAGTATGTAGGGTTTAAATTAAATTATAATTTTTGTTTACATCTGTCACACATAGTATTGAATCTTTACGTGGGACAGACAGTACAAGATAATTATTTTTTAAAATATCGAATCTCTTGAAAGTTAAAACTATAAGCAAAAAAAAACGGGATGGTTGAGCTATTTCTGGTAGGATCTCATAAAAAAAAATGTTGTAAAATTATAAAAATTCCGAGTTATTTAAATAAGATTCCCACTTAAATCTTGACAACTCGTTAATCGTGTTTAGACCAAGCCAAAGCGTGAGGAGGAAGACATATCTTATCCTTTATCTTCCCCAAAAGTCCACCAATAATACCATCTTAATCATTAGTTAAACAACCCCAAAGGCCATTCTACATTTGCATTTGTTAATTACCAATTAGTCGGTATTATGGAAAAAATCCTCTTTATCCTAGATCATAATTTTTTGTCAAAATAAAAAAAGGAAGAGTCAGAATTCAGAAAGAAAAGGAAATGTACACGTAAGCCTAAAAATTACATTTTTGACCTCATAAATTTACAAATACTACAAAACAGAACACCATTATTATTCCATTTAGCCGCTCAATGATAAATAATCAGCGTCAGATTAGGTTAGCTGAAGAATCGAACGGTTAATAATTACTACGGTGTACGATAAGCCGATGTAGAAGAACAGAACTAAAAAGCAAAAGGAAACCGTAGCGTGACTCTTACCATATAAATACACATGTATGTTCCTCCATAGTTACGTGTTTGTCTTTTTTTTTTCTTTTTCTCTTTTCTCGATATCGAAAGATTTCGTTCTCCAATTCTTATCGATTAAGAAGAACACATCTTACGAAGATTACTTTTTTAATCTTCTTCCGAAGATCAGAAAAATTTGTATATTAATTCTTTTAAAATTACCAGAAGAAGGAGATCTTCGTTCTCAACAGGTAAAACCACCATCTCCTTTGTCTTGTTTATTTGATTGATTGATTTATTTGATTTTGGTTTGTATTGCCCGATCTGATAAAACCGTGTGTGATCTTAGAAAATTCAGATCTGCTTCTAATAGCACTATTTTTAACGTTTTTGGTTAATTAATAACGAGATTTGTTCTAAACAAAGCTGGAACAAACTCGATCTTTTTCGAATTGATTTATTGTCGTTGTTGTTTTTTGGGTTATAAACAAATTTAAGTCGTACTTGTTATGGATCTATCTACAAAACCCGACAACCTTAAAAAAAATTCTGACATTTCAGGAATCTTGGTCTGATATTTAGACTAATCTCCTCTCCGGTCTTCTTGTGGTGTCTACAATGGTTAATTACGATTAATCGCAGTGGGAAGATTTGAATTTGATTTTTTTTTTTTTTTGTTGATACAGAACAAAAGTGATAATGGGATCGGAACAAAACGATAGCACAAGCTTCACGCAGTCGCAAGCTTCAGAGCCAAAGCTATGTGCTAAAGGATGTGGTTTCTTTGGATCACCGTCGAACATGGATCTATGTTCGAAATGTTACAGAAGCATTTGTGCAGAGGAAGCTCAAACAGCAGTTGTAAAAGCTGCTGTTGAAAAATCTTTCAAGCCATCTCCTCTTCCTCTTCCTTCTCGTAGTCTCTTCATAGCTGAACCGGCTGTTGTGAAACCCGAACCCGAAAAGGCCGTTGTTGTTGTGTCGGCTGAGCCATCTTCCGCGACGGTTCCTGAGGAGAGAGAGCCATCGAGACCTGCACGACCTACTAACCGGTGTTTGTGTTGTAACAAGAAGGTTGGGATCATGGGGTTTAAGTGCAAATGCGGGAGCACTTTCTGCGGCGATCATCGGTACCCGGAAATTCATGATTGCAGCTTTGATTTCAAAGAAACGGGGCGCGGAGAGATTGCGAAAGCCAATCCTGTGGTTAAGGCTGATAAACTTCAAAGGTTCTGAAATATTGAAGTTTTTAAAAAGTATTTGGTGGTTGTTACTCAATTGTATTTGAATCGATTTGGGGGTTGCCTGGATGGTTTTAATGGATTGTTTCCAAAGGGAAAGAGGATGAATTTGGTTCCATAATAAAGTGAATCGATGAAGTTTGTTCTAGTTTTTTTTTTTCATTGGCTCAATGGTCGTCGCTAACGTTTGAATTTTTTGCTTCTGCATCATTGGACAGACCTTTGTGGTCTGACAAAATCCGAGTTCATGATGGTGAATGAAACTCTTTTGCGTCGAAGGAATTTTCTTGGAGTCCACGGTTGCTATATTATCCGATCCAGCAGGAAGAGTTAAATACTCGGATAGCCTGATCAATGATAGACAGAACAAAGAAAAAAGCTCATTACGTCTCAAATGCAACACCAACACATTTCAAAACAATATTGGCAATGAAACTCACTTGATACAACTTCAATATAGACATCACAAGCAATATACACTAAATACTCTTACCGATGGACTTTTCACGAAAGAATGGCTGGCCTTTAACCATGGCAAGTCAGCCGTCGACGCAATATTCAGTTCGTTTCCCCCGAAGTGTCTTACTCTTTCCCATCTTAAAACACAATAACACTTTATATATATGCAAAATTATCATTGGGAGTTCATAATGAAAGAAATAAAAAAAATTATTATTTCGATCATTTGGAACAACCAATGATAATTTTGCATAATATATCTTATAAAACTTTTGAAAAGCCGTATGTGTAAGGTTGTTAGAGGGTTTAATTGGAAAAAGAAAAAGAAAAAACGAAAATTCTTTTGTCAAGAATTATTACAGACACTAGCTCAGAGCAATAAAAGATATACATGAACGAACACTTAGTTTACTTTCAGCCTTTTATCTTTGAAAAAATCCATGTCTCCTAAGTGAGCTAACTAATTCATACCAGATCAAGGATAAAACAAATTTCATGTTTTTATATAACACACCGATGTTACTTGGATATAAATTAGAACTTGGCAAATATATTAGTTTCATCTTATTTGATCAATATGATACGATATTGGGCCCATACCGGCCTGAAAAGATGGTACTTGAAATAAACTTATGGGTCTGGAATTTGGTCTGTAAGCCCACATGTAAGATTGAGGATATCGATACTTACAAAATACGTAATCAACTTTATACATTTAATAAAGATGTTGACAGCAAAATATATACACTGAATGTAAATTCTTTATTCTTTATTTGCTAACGAGCTAATTTAGCCTGATTTCAGTTTTATTCTTTATTTGCTAACGAGCTAATTGAAAAACTATGAATTTAACTCAAAACAATTAACCATGTAATGATGTTTGTCTCTTTTTAAACTTTTTGAGATCCTAGCAAATCAATTCGTTTAATCATTCTTTTGATTTTCATTTATATTAGAATGAATCTCACCTTTAATTTTGTGTATTAACTATATATGTTTGGCCTTATTGAACTTTGATAACATATAAAATGTTAATAGTTTCCAATTCAAATCATTTTGACAATGAATAAGTGATCTTGTATTTTATATATTAGTTTTGGTCATTTTTACATCTCCTCTATATGAGATCGTATAAGTCGCGCGTAGTCACGAAAAGAACATGGTACTCACAAGCAAGCTCACGTGTAAGGCAACAGTTGAACAAGTATATTGTCTCCTTATCCACATATCCATACGTATTAGAACATGTATGAAGACATACACACACAAAACTTGCGTATGTAGAGAGAACATGCACATAAAGCCCCCATATCTCTTTCTTTATTTATCTCGTAAATTGTTAGCCTCTCCCGCTTGAGCCGCCGATATTGCAGCTTTTCTTTTTATGCATACTCACACAGTTAAAAAAATAAATTAATTAAAGAGCGTTACATATGATTTCTGATATATACTGTTTATGTAATATCGTCTTTATTTACATATCTGAGATTTCAAATCGCCATCAGCCATATGTGATATGTATACACTCCAAGCAAACGACATGTGTATCCATTATCATGTAATAAGTGATAACCAATTATTAGAGTCATCATTATCCACATTGACATATTGACTAATTGATCTTTGGGTCTTTGAAGAAAATAATGATTTCATGTCCATAATAACTACCAACACAAAATCCTTTCTAATTTTGGAAAGTAACTTTTTAGTCACCTCAATACAAGTACATACATATGATGAACGTTGTTGACATTGATAACAGTAATTAATTATCACAAGTTATCTAACATAATGTGCTGAATATATATAACTATGGTGTAAAATAAATTTCAAAAAAAAAAATATTAATGTCTTTTTATGAGTAGAAAATTCTAAATCTACTTAACTTTATGACTAGTAATATATGTGAAAGTCTTATCGAAACCTCAGAGTGGGAAAAATGACTTAAGCATGTCACATAAATTAGTTGTTGTATATCCAAGTGGTTTCATATTTAGTGTGCTACGACATATAACAATTGTCGGGAAAAAACACCTTGAAATGTTGATAAGAAAAACCATACTTAGAGCGCCAACCTCACACAAAAATCAAATGCAAACTAGCAATGAGAATTCATCAAAGAAAAACCAAGACAAAAAGAAAAATGTTACTCAAATCAACATAAAAAGATCTACGAGCTAAAACGAACCAAAATAAAAATTTAAGAAAAAAGAACCTGATTCATCTTATGAACGTTGACCAAAACATAATGAAGCTCGATAAAATCTTGATTCTTGATCATCTTCGTCTAAATCCAATCTCTTATTAATGTTCATAAGCTAACCTCTTTTAATCATAGATATATCCACTAAACTCATGATTCTTCGTTAGCTAGCTAGCTATACGATGATGAGTGTGTATATATGAATATATTTGATCAATACGGTGGTCGTCCCGTTGACCAATAAGACTGATCATGCTGCTGCTGCAACTGAACCGAACCAAGAAGATTAGGTGGTAACCCTTGATGACCCGACATAGCTTGTTGCTGATGTTGCAGTTGTTGTCCCATCATCGGCGGCGACTCCATTGATCCTCCTCCTCCTCCTCCTCCGCCGTGAACCGGCGTCTGCATCTCATCTTCTTCTAACGGCAACCTCTCGTACGCCGCATTGCTAAAAGACGCAGCCATAACAACAACAGGACCAGCACACAACAATGGACCAACCACGCTTCCACCGACTACTTGTCCTTGTCCTCCGGCGAGGTAAACACTCAATCCGGTGGCTGTAGGAGGAGCCGGCGGAGGGAGAAAAGAGCCAGAGAGAGAGAGAATCTCGAACCTTCCGTGAAGACTAACGACCGAGCCAGGAGAAGGATGAGATCCAGGCTGACGTATAGTGACGTTAGTAACGTTTCCAGTACCGCTCATAACGCAAACGCCGCGTTGGCGTCTTCTTGCGAAAGTGGCCACGCTCTCGACTAGATCACATCCGTCTCCAATCTCCATCACGTGGGTTCTAAGCGCGTTTGCGCTGTCCCGCGTGACGATAATCGGTGGTTTTGGTTTGTTCTTGGATCCAGCTGGTCTTCCTCTTGGTCTTCTTGTCATCTGATGATCTCCTCCAGAGCCGCCGCCTCCTTCTCCCGAACCTCCGTGTAAATCTATGTCCTTACCTTCACTACCGCTGTTGTTAGCGATGTTGTCGCTTGTCTCTTCACGATCCATCTTGATTTGTCGGTTTCCTCCTGATCCTCCTTGTTGATCATCATCGGTTTGGTTTCTTTGTTGCTGGTGGTGGTGGAGGAAGAACTCTTGTTGTTGTTGTTGGAGATGTAATTGAAAGTCTCTTGCGTGGAAAGGAGCAGGTAGAGAGTTTTGTGTTCCATGATCCATGATCTATGATTCAATTGTGGAATTGGATCAAAAAGAGAAGAGAGTGATCTAAGAACAGATCTTTTTTACTTTGACCTTTTTTTGCTTCTTATTTTGTTGTCAAAACTAGCTAGCTAGAAGAAGAAAGAGAGTAGTAATGATGAACAACGAAATCCAAGCTGGATCTTCTTCATCTTCGTCTCTTCTTCCTTTTGATTTTGTAGGGTTTCTCTCTCTATACCTTGTTTTGTTGTATATCTGTAGCTTCTGATCTCTTTCTTTGAGTTGGAGGAAGTGAAAAAGGAGGTTTTGGTGGGGTTTTATTTAAACTAATTAATATTGAGATGTATGTGTGGGTCTAACTTTGGTTTGTGATTGGTAAACTAGGGTTAAGTAAAGAAAGGGACAAGATAATAAACCAAGTTTAAAAAAAAAAAAAAAAAAAAAAAAACCAAGTTATGTGATATTGTTATTGTGCTTATGAATTTGGATTGTGACTTCCTCCTATGTATGGGCGGTATTCTGGTCCCCCTCGATACCTTAATCTTTCGTCACCCGTTAGTAAATCACTATCCAACCATCAAAACTTGATTGGACAAAATAAATCAAACATGTATTGAGTCATTAGATCAGCAAGAAAAATCAGTAGCTATCTTAGAGTAAAAATACACTAACACATCTGAATTCGAGTCTCATTGGGTATATATTAACATGACTCATTACAGGTTGTATGGAAAAGGTTACATGGATTCAAACTTTCGAATTATCAGAAAAAAAGGAAGCAAAGTTGGTAACAACATTTGACCTAAACACACATTTTTCTATAAATAATAAATTATTGCATGGTTGATAAAAATAATAATAGATGACTGCAATATTAGCTATAGGATTATTACAATTATCTGATTAGTATACATATACCAATAAACAAACCTACAACTCATATTCAATGATAAGTACAAGAAGCATCGATCACTTTAGGGTTATATATGTTGGAACGAATTAAATCGTTTACATATGATTGTTTGTATTGTTAATTTGATAATGAATGTCCTTGTGAGGATGAATTTTAGTTTATTCCTTTAAATCTTTAAATTAAATAATCACATCACGTTTGTAATTAAGATCTAGCGTTTTGCGTTGAATAGAAACTGGTCTATATATATATATAAATGTAGCCTTTACTTAGTTGATAGTCAAACGATCCATTTGTCAATTAATATTTATCGCATGAATCGTTTACATATGATCTAAAGGTGTTTCTTTATAAAAATATATGTTCATAGTTTCATACACACATATGTGTGTATATAGAGGGAGACTAGGCATTGGAGGGAGTGAAAACAAGAAGGCGCGAAGATGTCGCTGACAATTCCAAAACGACGAGAGAGAGGAAATAGAAATGAAGAAGAAGATAAGAGAGGGAGAGGCATCGCATGAACTGTTGGGAGAGATAAACACAAACTCCGATGTGTTAAAGAGATGCTTTTTGTCGGCTCTCCTATGATCTTCACCCCCTCTCTCCACGTGCCCTTCTCCTCACAAAAGATTTCCGATCTATTCCAACCAATAAGAATAAGCAAGGTTCTTTCTACGTAGTGGCATTGTGGTGTTAGATCTAGGGGGCTAGGGGTGTCAATTTGTTATAGTTTCATGTCTGATTCTCATGTGTAAATTCTGCGTATGGACCATTTGGTCATTCCAATTTTGTTATGAAAACCTATCGATCTAGGCGATATAGGTTTAGGCCGATGTTGGGGGTGACTGGATAAGAGTTTTGATGTGAACTGTCACTTTAAAATAAATTGTAAACTAATAGTACAATATAACTATTTATACATTTACTCATCGTTAACCTTCATTTGATTTATTTAAAACGGAAAACATGAAAGAATGTGAACGTGTATCATACAATATGAAACCATATGTACGTTCAATTTAAGATAATGACGAACTTATGTATCTTTAATTTGTGCTTGATTATTCATTTTCTACCTACAAAAAGTATTTTCAATGAAGTGTTTATAGAGTATTTGCTTCGTATTGTCCAATAATTAGTTGGTTAGTTGATGATTATTGATCCATTACCAAAATCAATAAAATTATTGGGAAATGAGGTCACCCGACTTATTTTATCTTAAAGACGAAAGGCATGAAACTTATCAAAACCAAAGTATGAGTTCACGAGCTCTTAAAAAGAGAAAAGGACAGCTTACTTTCAATCCCGAATTCTACGGATAATTAGTTGATTGGCTGATTTAATTATTTGGGGTTTCATTACTTTATAATGTAAGTAATCGAGGCATCGATATTGTTAAACATTTTGACTTCATACTCTATATAGATGCTTTGGTAGTATTGTATGTTTTGCTACCAGTACCATTATTCAATTCTTGAAGAGGGCATAAAATTATTTTCATTTTACATTTTAACCACTTTTTATTACTTGGTTTTCAAAACCACCAATAAAAATCAAAATGTTTTTAAAATACCACAAACCTATATTATATTAATTATAGAAATAAAAGTTAAAAGGAATTATATTTTATGGTATGTTTTGAAGTCAACAGTTCGGAAATAATTTGGTATTAAAAACAAAAAAAAAACTCATTTGCCTTTCGAACTCATAAGTTAAAGTTGGTAAATTAAGCTAATTAGCTTAATTTACAAATTAGGTGTTGATGTCTAAATGTAAATTAAGCTAATTAACAAAATCTAAATTCGTGGAAGACACCTAATTTGCGTCAAACCTTGTCGTGCTTCTGCTTTTCTCACGAACCCAATGTAAATAAATGTTGAAATGAATTTGCTAACGGTTTATCGAATATCAAGTGAATGAATGTTAAATGATTTATACGTAAACTAATCTATAAGCCGTGTAAATAAATCATCTACCTTATTTTGTCAAAAAGTAGGAATATGGTTATTTTCATTAAAAAACAAAAAAAAAAAAAACTGTGTATCGTGATAGAAAGAGAGGAGTTGAAGACTAATGTCAAACTTGGAGGAGGGTTAAATAAATGATTATGTGGGTGCTTTAAATGCCATTAAGACGGCATAATTGAGACAAATTAAGCTAACGACAAACTAAAGATTAAAGAGCCCTCACATGATTTAAGGGTTCTTTCCATTAGGAATCTCATTAAGTTATTATTACACATACAGTCAATGATATAATCACACTCAGTTTAGAAACATGGTTTCCCCACTAAAAATAAAAATATGTGACTGTGATCTTAGATATGATTGGATACGACTCCAAACATGGGAATATAGTGAATGTATTAAAGTTATAGTCTTAAAAAAAGTGATCAAACATATTTATCAACAAAACAGTGATTAGTTTAGGCTGTATACGAAAGTGTTTGTTTTGAGGAAATTATTTATAGAGGTGTTTAATCCTGATTTTGGTTTGGAGCTTTTGATCTTCCGGTTTAGGAATGACAGTGGTCTAAGTGAAACTTAATCTAATACTCCCTCCGTTTTATAATATAAGTCGTTTTAGCTAAAAACACGCATATTAAGAAAATCTATTTTTAAAAAGTTTATCCAATCATAAAAAAACTGCATAATATAAATAATTATAAAATATTTAAATAACAGTATATAATTTGCATAGAAACTTGAAAACGACTTATATTGTGAAACAAAATTTTTTCTTGAAAACGACTTATATTATGAAACGGAGAGAGTATATAGTTTTTGTACTATTTTGGTTTGAGTTCAGTTTTTTGGGTTTTTTTTTTTTTGTTGAGCTTGGATTTAATCTTGTTTTTAGGATATAGGAAAAAACAATCATTATAATTAAATGTTGAACATAGTCTGTAATGGAATCTTGCCATTATAAACAATAAAAACTTATTGGTATATGCAATAATTATAAGTTAATCGTCCAACTTTGCAGGAGCTCGTCAAGTGTCAATTTCAATTAAAAAGTATATTGAACGCTAATCTCTCTTTTGCTATTGGCTTACCAGAATGTTTCCGAACAGCTTGTCTTTGTTCTGCCAAGCAGCGAATTTTTTTAGTTAATTATCTCTTCTTAACTAAGAATATTACTATATAGTAATACTTAACCGCAAGATAAACTAAAATATACGAACACATGAGTTTTTCTAATCAGGTTTTGATTTCCCAGCCAGATATGGCAGTTGTCCGAAGATATATGTAAATACATTATTCCTTCTCTATGGCTGGAGAAAAACTAAACCTAATTTAATTTAGGGCATTTCAACAAAAGATTCCTTTTAAGTTTGAAAATGTTGAATAAGAACATTATTTTTTTATTTATTTTTTTCTTCGAATAAGAACATTATAACAGTGTGGTTCTCGCAGCAGAGATGACAAACAAATGTTCTAGCAAAAACGTATATTTCATGATAATCTTATTATTGAAGAGTTCATCAAATTAATTAGTTTAGGGATCATTTAGTAATAAATATCAAGAATACGTAATTTTTCACACAAGTTTTTGTGGATTACTCTGGATTGTGACATGAGATTTTTTTTTTTTGGTAAAATTGTGACATGAGATTTGGTTATATATTACCAATAATGTCGTATAAAGATGCAAAACTCCTGCTTTCGTAAAAGCTATCGCAAACAACAGTTTACATTACTTGCCGCCAGGGCCCGTCCGATATATCTAAATGTCCTACGCCACACAAAAAATCATGCCCTTGATTTTTTTTTCCCTAGCATCACAATAAAATTAATCTAAAAGTCATATTAAACTAAACAAAACAGTAATTAATTTCATAAGAAGTTTGTTAGGAAAGAAAAAGAAACTCTATTCTTTAAATATAGCTTTTATTTTTTCGTTCTATTCTTTAAATATACATTTTTGCCAGCAAAATCATTAAGTCGAACTTGTCAACCATAGTTGTCTCAATAGATAGCAAAACCAATCCATTTAACAAGCTTGCAACCAGTCAAGCACGCAAAAAGAAAAATATGAATTGAATCAATGGAAAGAGAAATTTTTATAAACGTTTAGGGTTTTGTTTTATTTTAAACCAAAATTTTACTAATAAAGAACACATTAACTAACATTTATTAATTTAAAGGCATAAAACTCACAAAATATAATGAAAGAAAAGTCCAACAAATTTGCTTTTTAAAAAAGGTATATAATTTTTTTTTTAACATAAAAGACCTAATTTTTTTTTAAAAAATATACTCCTTTTAATTTGATATCCTAAATCTTGGTTTCACTTGATTGTGTCATACGCCGGACCTCTTTGCCGCAGAAAAAAGTTTGCATTAATTAATGTTTTAGTCATACTTTAATTAACTGTGTCTGAATTATTCAGCTGACAGCATTGACTAGGTATCCTTAACCCCAACGAAAAAACATTGACATGGATTATCGAATTTTCGTTGGTCAATGTTGTTTTTCTTAGAATTTTAACATCCCTAAAAGGAAAAAAAAAAAAAAAAAAAAGCTAGGCAACAAAACATGTAAATCAATAGTGTAGTAGTAAATCAACAGTACTTTGTGGAGAGAAAAAAAAATCATCAGTACTTTTGACTTTTTTAGTAATACATCAACATGTTTGTTTCCTAATCTTTAATGGAAATGGGCCCTCGTTGCCCGAATGGGCTTTTGGACCCGAATAAGTTTCTCAAAATGTTGAATTAATTAGTTGAAGACTAACGGTATGGGCTATAAACGTTTCTTATCAACCTTCCTTAGTAAAATGTTTCAGTGAAGTTGCAACTGGTTATATTTGTAAAGAACAAAATGATTCGATGTAAGAGTATATGTTGAATGCTAAATTCCTAGTATCAGATTCCATTTATCACATACTTTTTATTCTTTAATGTAGTCATCGTATCATTAGCTATTTAAATTTGATAAAAGAATATGATGATTTCTGTTAAATAAAAATTATAGCTAAAAGTGATTCGCATTAAAAGGAAGCAGCACTTTATAAGTTAAAATTAGCCGTCTGGGTCGAATATGGCTCGGGTATATATTAAACCAAATACATACCAAGAATGAACCAACATCAACATTTGAAAATCAAGAACGAACCGAAATTACATCATAATTAAAATCCTAAACAGAACAATTTCAGAGCCCTTAACCAGAGTATACCAATACCTATATAATACTTGTTAATAGTATAGGATGGAGTACCAAATTAGTTATCTAACTTTTTTTTTTTTTTCCGCCAAACACCATTTTATTAAGTTATCGGACGAATGCTTTCCTCTAGAGAAAGCCAATCCGGAACCGATGTGCTTACATGAGAGAATAAAGAAGCTCGTGCTCTTGTTTTTTTTGCGAGACAATCGGCACGGACATTGTTACATCTCAGAATAAATCTAATAATAAACGAAGGGAAAGATAGTTTCAAAAGCTTAAAATGTTGTAATTCTACTACAAACGTAGGCCAATCAGCTGGATTATCTAAAATAGAAATCAGCTCGGAGCAATCTGTGGCGAAGCCAAAATTCGTCATCGAGTCTGAGATGAGGCACTCCATTGCCCATAGAAGGGTGTCGAATTCTGCTTGCAAGAGAGATAATCCCCGACGGGAACTTTTCAGTCCTAAGAGAATATGAGTATCTCCATCCATAACAATCCATCCATGTCCACTGAGGGGGTCAGTTACTTTCTAAGAGCCATCGATCTGACATTCTGATTGAGAAGTGCCCGAGATTATACGGTCAGGAGGTGGCCTTACGACTTCAACGAGGAGATCGTCTTTACTATTTGCACTCTTCCATGCATTCCCCTCTTGAACCGCATGCTCTAGCGTGTTCTTGGGAGACTCCTGAATATTTTCAAATATAAAACTGTTTCGAGCCTTCCATAGATACCACAATATCCATGGGAATATATGCCCAATTTCTTCTCCAAAATCATCATCCCTTTCGCTCTCCAAAAAAGAAAGTCCATATTAGAGAATAGAGACAGATTCGGGAAGGAGGAGGGTAATGTTGGGATCGGTGAAAAGACCCAGGTTTAAAGCGCCGATGGGCATTCAAAGAGGAGGTGATTAATTGTTTCCTCCTCGGCACCACATCTTGTGATTAATTAGTTATCTAACTTAAATTGTGAAAATATTAATTTTTTCTTTTCTTGTGAAATTATCCAATTTATTCGTAATGTTCAATCGTGTAGAACTGTAGATGATACTAAGCCGAATTGGTGAGAACTTATAGTGAATTAGATGTTCGGACCAACTATTATCGGTTCCAATTCTCAAAATGGACAAACCTAATTATTACGGTTTTATCCAACCATCACTTTTATCCTTAACTCCAGAAATAGTGAAAATCTTTACAATCCATGAAAATTTACCAATCGACCTTTTATTTTTGTCCTTGGGTCCTCTTAGAGAAAACCTTTTTTTAGAAAGCAACAAAATAAAAGTTGAAATATCCAATCATCCTATAAAAAGTTGGTATTTTATATTCATAATATTTTCATTAGAAAATGATGCCTTATACAATTATTTCTTGCTTTTTGGAAAGAAAAATAGAAAGCCAAGGTCACATATCTTCTTCAAACACATTTTCTCTTTTGTCTTTGTTTTTTTGTTTTCTCTTTTTTTCTCTTTGTTATTTGTGTGTTCAACTATTTCTCAGTTTTGTAGGATATTTAATTCGAATTTTAATTATGTTCTGTTTTTATCAGTATTTTTGAGGAGAAATTCTGATTATATTGATTTACCAAGTGCGTATTCACTATTTTATGCAAGCTTTGTTTCACATCATTTTTTTGTTTTTAACAGAAAGACTATATAACTTCGATTACAAAGAAATTACTTAAGTGAAATCCTAAATATGATGGGGGTGGAAAGATTATTGAATGCATTATGATTTTTGTAGGATTTTCAAAAATTCATGTTATACTTATATATATATATATATATATATATATATATATATATATATATATATATATATATATATATATATATATATATATATTACAGGAAAGATTATCTTTTAGACAAAAGGAAAAAAAAAAAAAAAAAAGGGGGAGGAGTGATTAAAGTCCCATTGAGGTGTTTGAAAACCCTTTAAGACTCGTTATCGAAGAATGGCAACCACACACACAACTATGACTACATTTGCTATAATGAATGATGTCAAACTTTTCTTACATGAAAGTTTATCGTTTGCTTCCCCCTATTTCATTCCTCAACCAAATATCCAATGTTTTACACGAAAGCATTGGCCATTGGATATGGATTATTAATTTATTTATTAATTGCACATTTTGAAATAAACAAAATGTATTATTATAAAGTGGGAAATGGGAATGATATGGATTCATCATCACCAATGCACTTAAGGGTATAAGAACCCACCAACTTGTGCAACATCAGCTCCTATTGGCCGTTACAAAAGCTTTCTCGAGAAAATCGATTCAACATTTAGATTACTATATAAGCACATCACTCTCTCACGCAACTCATGCTTTTAATCTACCAATTTATAAATTCCTCCACGCTAACAACAAAACCATTGTCCACTTACAAATTTTTTGTCATCTTCATCAACAAACAAACAACCATCTCTGCAAAATTGGCTGAAACCTCTTAGAAGTTCTTTCCTATGTTCCAAATTATTCATATTTTCAGATTTTCTACTAATAACAATGTCAGAAACATCAAAGTCAGAGTCTTTAGATCCAGAAGTCTCTGTTTCTGAAGGGTTTTGTTCAAAGACCTTGATGCAGAGCATTTTTCATGAGCTAAACCTGCAAATGAGAATTGGTTTGCCATTGGTGGTTATGAACTTGTTGTGGTTCGGTAAGATGACCACCACATCTGTGTTTCTTGGCCGTCAAGGTGAGCTTAACCTAGCTGGAGGTTCATTAGGGTTTTCCTTTGCAAACGTTACTGGCTTTGCTGTTTTGTATGGTATTTCTGCTGCAATGGAGCCTATTTGTGGCCAAGCTTTCGGAGCCAAGAACTTTAAGCTTCTCCACAAAACCCTTTTTATGGCAGTGCTCTTGCTACTCTTGATTTCGGTACCAATTTCTTCCTTGTGGCTCAATGTTCACAAGATACTTATTGGTTTTGGTCAAAGAAAAGATATTTCCTTCATAGCCAAGAGATATCTTCTCTACCTTCTTCCAGAGTTGCCAATCCTCTCTTTGCTTTGTCCACTTAAGGCTTACTTAAGCTCACAAGGTGTAACTCTCCCCATCATGTTCACAACAGCTGCAGCCACTTCTCTTCATATCCCCATTAACATAATCCTCTCTAAAGCAAAAGGAATGGAAGGAGTTGCAATGGCGGTTTGGATAACCGATTTTATTGTTGTCATTCTTCTAACCGGGTATGTGATTGTCGCAGAGCGATTGAAAGAGAACAAATGGAAAGAAGGTGGCTGGTTAGACCAAAGTGCTCAAGACTGGCTCACACTGATCAAGCTTAGTGGACCATGTTGTCTCACCGTGTGCCTTGAGTGGTGGTGCTACGAGATCTTGGTCCTTTTAACCGGGAGGTTACCAAACCCGGTGCAAGCTGTATCAATCTTGATAATAGTTTTCAACTTCGACTACTTGCTTTACGCCGTGATGCTCTCTTTAGGCACGTGTGTGGCAACAAGAGTGTCCAATGAGCTCGGCGCAAATAATCCCAAGGGAGCTTATAGAGCAGCTTATACTACACTCATTGTGGGTGTTATTTCAGGATGCATTGGAGCTTTAGTGATGATAACATGTAGAGGTGTTTGGGGGTCTTTGTATACTCACCATGACCAAATCATCTTAAACGGTGTGAAGAAGATGATGCTGATAATGGCGGTTATCGAAGTTGTAAACTTCCCATTAGTGGTTTGCGGAGAGATTGTACGCGGAACAGCAAAACTGTCGCTTGGAATGTATGCAAATCTTACTGGATTCTATCTATTGGCTTTGCCTTTGGGGGCAACTTTGGCGTTCAAGGCTAAACAAGGGCTTGAAGGGTTCTTGATCGGGTTTTTGGTCGGTATCTCTGTCTGTCTCTCGATATTGCTCATCTTTATTGCGAGGATAGATTGGGAGAAAGAAGCTGGGAAAGCACAGATTCTGACATGTAACACAGTGGAAGAACAAACTTCACAAGGTTCATAGAGGCCGTATCTTCTTGGTAGATACTAGAGATGTAGTCAAGTTACCTTGTGAGAGTATTAATCTTCTTGATGCAACTGTAACTATATATGAATTGAGGATCTCATCCTTTGTATTATTGTATATAAAAGAAAACGCCTACCGTGGGTCTCGAACCCATGACCACAAGGTTTAGGGCCTTGCCCTCTACCAACTGAGCTAGACGGGGATTAGACTATTTGTCATAATAGTCTTACTTAATAGACTAAATTTACTCCTTTAACACTCTCACAAATCAATATTGCTTTCCCAAATAAACAAAGAAAAACTCTCTTTTACAGCTAGAATCTGTGCATATATATTTTTTAAAAGTTTGCATGATTTTGTTGAGCCAGATACATGAAAATTCTGATTGATTGTTTTTTTGTGCCTAACAGAAAATTGAATTTGCCCAAAGAACAAGAGGAGTCTCTAGGTAAAAGAAAAATGAAATGATATCGTAGACCCATTATATTACATGTAAGTTACAAGACCTTACCGGGCCTTATCAAATGAACTTTTTATTTCCCCTTTTGTCCCAAAAACTAGAAAAGTTCATATTTTAATATTACGTAGCTTCCACATCTATGATCTATGGATGTAAGAAAATATTTTTCTTTTATTTAGATAAGTATATCTTTTGATTCTTGTCATTTATATATCACTATTTGAATTTAAATCTAGTATAATACACGTTGTTGACAAGAAAATAAAATAAATTATGTACGATTTTTAAATTATTGGATCTTTAAATTCATTAGAAAACCATATAACTCTGCACATTGCAAAAGTTTGAGTTGATGTACACTGATGTACAGAGAAATAATGCATTTATATAATATTTTATAAGCATTTATCTCTTGGCCAACCTATTTAAACTGAGTAAGATAAGATAAATGGAATATTACATTTTTTTTTTGGTAACATGAAATATTACATTTGTTAATAGTGTACCACATAAAAATTAATATCTAAACATTATAATTTGGAAGAACAAGCTAAGTCTGAATCATGTAAATTTCAATGGGTGCCAAGACAATGCAACAAAGCGGCTGATATATTAGCTAAAGAATTTTTTCAATCTCCTACATATGTTAATTTTCCACTCCTTGTTATATTGTACAAATCACGTGGTTTAGAGAGCCGTATTACTTCTGCAAGTATTTCAAAAATTGTTTTGGTTGATTGTTTTATAATACCAAACGAAAATAAATATCTTAACCAATGTATACAGCAAAATTATTGGAGTACAACCATTTTGGTTCTTGGTGTTTTGGTAGACAAAGAACCTAAAAACATTGATTGTGTCTTGCGAGTGCCATGTGAATCGGAAACACATATCCGAGGAGAAGTGTGGGGCACTTAAATCTCAACTTAGGGTTAAAGCTTAACATTAATTAAGGTTGGTTTTGTATTTAATTTTCTTTGATGATTTATTTTATTTATAAAAAAAATTATTGGTGAAATACTTAGTCTTAAATGTACGACCACGTTTATCGTTTTATAGAGTATATATAGACACGCACTCGGGTTGTTTGAAGTTTATTTAATTTTTTATCAACGTTTATCGATTATTTATAGCGTTGAGTTTTTGTCAGGTTATACACTATATATATCCGCTATTATGCGATATGTCAAAAGCCGGTCTTGAATTTAGACTCTTTCTTGTGATAACTTTATTGAATTTAGGTCATCGCATTATATACTAATATTGGAATCTATACCATTGTTTGGAGGCCGAGTCTCTGAACTCTGATTGTTTCAAATTTCATGGCTAAGTTGTTCAAGAAAATTTGTATAATACGTGTGTAATTGTATTGTCTGCTATAATGTTTTTTCCTATAGTGGAATTAAACTTTTGCTTATAGCAATTTAAAATGAATTTTTATACATAAAGTTATGATATGTATATTATGTATATACATATAACAAATGTATATATATACAAACATTCTAGTTATTCATGAGGAAATGAGATAGACTAGTAAATTTTGGTATATGCGGAGAGGAGCATGAAGTGGTTTAACATCCCATGTGATGCATCATGCATGAGCTTGTGATGATGTTCCTTCTGTGCTTAACACATTTATTTCTCTTCCATTATTATTTAATAGACATCTACATTGTAATGTAATTAATAAAGGTGAAAAAATTGCATTATAACATGCCATTATTATTAAACAGATTTTCTTTAACATAGCTAGAAAATAATAATTTTCTTTATTTTTAATTAAAATAGCAGAAAATTGAATACCTCACGGTTTTTTAATAAATAAATAGTCGATAAGAAAAAATATATCATATTTTACTAATATGTTGGTCATCAATTAAAAACGTGAATAAGAGAATGTCGTTAATTATCTGGAGCTTCCCTGCAAGATTGGGAAATCTTAAGAATAAGTAATAACTTTTCATTGAATGAACTATTTACAAAAGTGAAAACTATAGAAAATCTATAAATTGACAATTAAAGGTAGTAGTTGCACCTATCTAAAATTTTAGAACAATATAAAATATTTTGAATATAAAAACCACAACAACTATACTCCTAATTTTGGTATATGATCGTGATCAGGCAGTTAGTTGTCGCTGTAATCATCGAATTGAAAGGTTCATTTTCAAATCGTAAAATTTCATCTTGTCAGAACATTTTTTATTCTAATTTTTTTTTTAAAAATGTTGGCTACAGCTGTAATGTAAAAATATGTCTTAATAACGATATATACGTATTATATCGATAAAGGTGATTAGAAGATGTCATTATCTTATAAATGTGTGAGTCAAATATTAAGAAAAGTGAATTATAAGAAATTGGCCGGTTCAAATGTCTGAACTTACAAGCCAAATAATAGTCCCACGCCACACTTTTCTCTTTGAAATGTCTTTGACAATTGCTATAGTATTTTTTAATTCATACTCTTCTTAATTCCGACTTACATTTTAAATAAATTATCTCACTCGTTAGTATCAGATGTGAATGGAAATTATGGGTCTGATTGGTAACCCATTTTAAAGTTGTACAGCTTTGTACAGCTTTGACAGTTACCAATCACAAAAGCTTTATGAAAAGCGGTACACTATAACATAAACAGTTTTTTTGGACAAAAACAAAAACAAATTAAAACAGTTACGGTTAAATACTGTTATGGTTAAATACGGTTACGATTAAATACAGTTATAACGGTTACGGTTAAATATGGTTATAACGGTTACGGTTAAATACGGTTATAACGGTTACGGTTAAATACGGTTACAGTTACAGTTACATCGGTTACGGATAATTACGGTTACGGTTAATATCGGAGGCAAAATCTTACGAGTTACCTAACTTATTATAATACTTTTCATAAAATCAAAAAGTATGTTACAAACCAAATTTTCTTCATTTCGAGCAAAATAACAGTATAACATATTTGTTTGAGAAAAAGACCATTTTTTATAACGTAGATTTTTTTATACGCGGTATCATTTACTTTTTTGAAAATCTTAATCTGAACATTCGATAATTGTTTTTGCATTATATGGAGTTACAATTATATTTTTAAAGTTTTAACTATGCGGTTAACCATATGGTTAAATAACGGTTTTCATATGTTTACCGTTAATTAACGGTTACGGTTAATATATTTTTTAACTGTATCTAATTATTTTTTACGGTTAACGGTTACGGTTTTTAACCGTTTTATACGGTTACGGTTGAGAAACGGCCCGGTTACGGTACAACATATGGTTACGGTTAGCTTTTGGTCATGCCTAGTATTTTGGATCGTAACTGGACCGTTTTTCAACCGTAACTGTATAAAACGGTTAAAAACCATAACCATTCACCGTAAATCTAGATTAGTTATGGTTAAAAAAAATATACTAACCGTAACCGTTAATATACCGGAAACGTATCAAAACCATTATTTAACCGTACGATTAGCCGCACGGTTAACCGTATTATTAACCGCATAATTAAACTTTATAAAATATAATTGTAACTATGTATAATGCAAAAAAAAAGTCTCGAATGTTCAGATAAAGATTTCTGAAAAAATAAATAATGCCGCCTATGAAAAAATCTCATTAGAAATAATGATTTTTTTCTCAAACAATTATTTTGGAATGTTATATTGCTCAAAATGAAGAAAATTTTATTTATTATAGGACTAGTAAATTCATATTATTATTCTAACAATTGTTCATTCTATATAATCTTAATTTTCATATGTAATTATATACTAAAGTACATTTCTATGTAATTTTTTTTTTTTTCTAAATTCTTAATATTATTTATTATGTGTACCGCTATGATGTTTCCAATCAGAGTAAATTTTTAAAATTTGTTCAGCGTTATTTTTTTGTACAGCTTTCGTGTTTATTCTTTTGTCAACTTTGCACTATT